AGAGGAGGAGCCCATGCGTCCAGAGGTGGAGGAGAGACTTCAGCTTGGTGCCAAGCCACGGTCTTGTCCCAGGTTGTTGCGGGGACTGCGTGACAGACAATAATAGGCATTTGCTATACGTACTGATGTAGGAGATGCTGGGCTGCATCCAGTTTTGAGGGGCATTGTGTCCGCGTGAGGGTAGGCTCTTATCAGCCATCTCAGTGGGGAAATCCTGGACTGAATAGACTTGGAGCACGAACTAGATTTCTTACTGGCTGCCGCGACTCGTTTTTAGATGCTGACAGCCCCAATTCCCACCTGTGAAAGCGGGCTAAGTGCACGTGCCCCAAAAGATCGTGATGTCCAAATGGTCCCTGCGGGTCTGGCTTGAAAAGCATGGCTCGATGGCTTTGGAGGAGGCCACGTATTCCTCTTGCTCTGTGCCCTTGGGCGCCCTTTAGTAAGCCCTAGGTTTAGTAACAGATTCCCCTGAGACCTGCTTGGGCCAAAGTGGCTGCGGAGATGGAAACAGGGAAATCAACTGGGCTGTGAACATTGACCCTATGTTGGACAATGGGTGGACAACATCATGGACACAGCCCTGGCCACCACCTTCAGGGCTAGCACCGAAGTTTGGGTGAGCCTGGATCCGCCTCTCTGGTTGTGTGCAGGGTCTGGAGTCATTTGCTTCAGGCCCGCGCTGGATCCGGGCGAGCAGAGCACGCGGGCAACACGCTTGCTTCGGCTCAAGGGAGTTTGCTTGAAATAAGCCTGGACAACTCCAGCCTCTTCTGCAATCCCCCAGGAAGCAATGGGTTCTCCCCCCGGGGATTCATCTGCTTTCTCAGTCCGTTCGTGAAGCGTGCGTGATCGGTGAGGAACGACACGTAATACCTGTCGGGTACAATTCCCACCCCCCAGCCGAGTCAGTGGGAGCCGGGCACCTGTGAGAATCTGCCTTTAACGAGAATGCAGAGTAACGAATGGCTCTAAATTTGGCTAGTGGCTCAAGCAACGGCGTCAGCCGCAAGCGTGGGATCTTGGCCGACCTGTTACCAGAGCCTCTGAGCTGCAAAGTCCCTCCGATGGCGTCAGCACCTGTTAGCCATTTGAGGGATTAGTGAGCAGAGAGATTGGGTCGTCCTGATAAAGGAGCAAAAGCTTTGCACCCCTGTGTGCCAGACTGACCTCCTGGAATGAGCCCTCTCCTTACAAAGTTTTCCCATCTAGGTGGTTATCACCAAGATCTCTGTTCACAAAAGCAACCTCCACCTGGGAGAGAGGGGGGAGAGAGTCATTTTTTTCAATTAAATCAAGTCCTCCCTCACGTCTGGGGCAAGGACGGGCGTCTTCCTGCATTCTTGTGGTCTAATCCTGAGCAGGGCGCTGGGGTCGTGCCATAACCCCTCGCCCGATCTGTGCATGGAGCTGGATCCCAAAACCTCCTGGCCTGGGTGCCACGAGCTGCTGCCGCTTGGGCTACCGGATGGTGGGAGTTTATGGAGAGTGCCAGGGGATTGGGAGCATGAGTCCTGCTGCTTTTTGGTGAAACTTGGGCTCCTAAATCACATTGGGAATCCCACTCTGCATTTCCCACGTGCCCCGCTTCTTTTTGCAAGACACTTTCGGCGTGAAACTGCGGGGCATTTGAAATACCACCCCAACCTGAATTTTGCAGCTTGAGTTGGCCGCTGAGCTGCACTTGGACTTGGGACTTGACCCCTCCTTTGTTAGACAGACCCTGCCTTGTATTGCTGGGCTGGTGGCATGTTTGAAAGGCATCCCCCCACGCCTGCAAGACAGTCTGGGGTTACGGTTACCCCAGGGGACGGAGGTAGAAATCCTGGGCCCCAGTTCTGACTGTGCTCCTGATTTGCTGCGTGAGCTTGAGCAACTGTCACCCCTCCTCTGTGCCTCAGTTTGCCCAATTTGTAAAGCAGGGTGTTTCGCCCCTGCCACAGGATTAATGTATGGACCTTCATAAAACATCGTATGCGTACTAATGCCTGCTCTTACTGTGATGGATCCCTTTAGACCGTGCCCGAGCATAGCACTTGAATTGCATAGTAGTTGTCAGAACTGACCCGAATACATCTTCAAGGAGCGTGGATGCTGTACGTGTGGGGAAACAAAGAGGCTGTGTTAGTGAGTGATGGATTTGCACGTAGCACAATACTCCTCTGACTGTGGGGTACAGCCTAAGTCTGTGGTCCGCAGACCCCTGGAGGTCCGCAGATTATGTCTAAAGCGTCCGCAACAGGTGACTATGACCGATCAAAAGTATATGAATACCCACACTTACCATTCAAAGGGGTCCACACCTCTATTCGAAATGGTTTCAGGGTCTGCAAATGAAAAAAAGTTGAAAGCCAGCGGCCCGGGTGTTTGGAAAAGAAGAGCCAAGTGTTTCTCGACTGCAGCCGTCATGCAGAGGTTGTGTCTGCAGAGCTCTTCTCTGCTCACGGCTTACAACTCCCAAGTCAAAATCTATCGGTCTTTCGGTGCCGGTTATCCTATACGCCTTCCTTTAACACCCCTGCTAGGCCGACTTCATCCTAACTCTCAGCCGTCACAGTCCTTTGACACCGCTCTGGGAATAAGACGAGGTCTTTGAAAAAGGTGTAAACGCTTATGCTGCAAGAGGGTCCTTAGTTTCAAGAAGCATAAAGCCCTATTGACTTGTGTTACGCCCCACAAAAGAGTATAAAGGCGTCCTCACTTTTCTTTATGGGTCAAGGTTTCATGCGCTGGCATGTCCCCAAAAATTATGCTTAGATTGATTCCTGTCATGGGGCCTTCACAAAACTTAACTGGCAGTAAAGGGCACTTGGAATAAATCCAGGATTGGGCCCTTTAAAAGCATTTGCCATTCTGTGGGACACACCGTGAACATCAATGACAGTAATAAACCACGTTTAAAGATAGCTATGGTTTCTCTTTTTTTATTTAAAAAAAAACAAAAAACCCAAAACCACGGAGGTAGAAAAGTTCAGTCGAAAATACAAAAAAAAAAAAAAAAAAAAAAAAAAAAAAAA